ATCTATCTGTCTATCTATCTATCGTCCTGCACTATCTGCGTATGCGTGTACCTGCTTTGTCTGCATTGTTTTCATATTCGCTGAGGTTTTATCATAGATATCTAGACCGAAAGCCAAAAACACAGACAGACATGTGTATTTACATATATACACACATAATACATGCATATATGCATACTATACATACACACCACCCATATATGTTTTTATGTGTATATATATATATTTATTTATTTATTTATGTTTAAACTATTTAAGCCATCTTATGTTTACGGGCCGGACCTGGTGGCCCAGCCCAAATTCGGGAACCATCACGAGCTCCGTGGCAAAGGCCGGACTCGGCAGGGCTGTTTAGGGTTTAGGGCTTAGGGTTTAGGGGTTTAGGGGTTTAGGGGTTTAGGGTTTTGGAGGCTTTCCTGGCTCAGGATATCAGGTTTCACACTACATTCCTATGAACGTCCACCCCAAACCCCTGCGCTACTAATCCCCTTAAGCCCTAGGCATACCCCAAAACTATGAACCCTGAAACCCAAAACTGCCCTAAACCCTAAAAACCCCAAACCGCGCCCAAAATAGTCCCTTCGAAGGAGCCCTTATAAATAAAGGAACCGTTACAGGCAGAGATTGAGCAACAGCCTCGCTTGACCGAGTCCCTAAACCCTAAACCCCTAAACCCTCTGACCGAGTGACAGGCCTTCTGGTGACATGCCATAAGAAGAGAGGCGCCCCCGGCTTCCTGACGGTTTGGGGGTTGGGGTTTAGGGGTTGGGGTTCCGGGTTCAGGGGTCCCTATTTAAGGGATCGATAAGGGATTGATAGGGATGTTCAGGGTTCACTATTTAAGGGATCTATAAGGGATTGATAGGGATTAGGGTTTAGGGTTCAGGGTTCAGAGTGTAGGTTGACGTTCTGATTGGTGCTGCTTTTTGGGGCTGGGTTAGTCTCTATCTTTACCGAGCGGGTTGATGCGTGTTTTTTTGGGAGGCTGAGGCAAATCCGCGATCGACTTCCCACATAATATTGTGGATCCAATCGGTGCGATGGCTTAGCTGTTTTGTGAAGGAGGGGCGCGTTTAGGGTAGTATAGGGGCCGTAATTAGTAAAGCAAGGTATTGGGGGCTATATCATAATGTAACCACAATGAGGACTATAGCAATTTCTGTTTATTGCGACTCCGACATTGAGGCACAAAATCCGGAGCAAGCTACGGGATCCGGAGTCGATATTCGACGTTGTGAGGCGTTGCCGGGCCCATGATCTCAAGTCAGAGCCGATCTGCAATACAACAGGACAGAGATGCAGTCTTGCCAACGAGTACCGTGACGGTAGGCATCACTTGACACAAGAATATATATATATATGCATATATATATATACACACACTTTAGCAATATGCATATACATATCACTCGTAGAGCAACTGACAAAGATGCTGATCGATGCTGAGCTTCAAAGTGTTGTCCGCCAGAACTCGGCAGCCATGTTGAAGCAGCTTCATCTCCTGCGGTGACGTCACAACTTGGAATATGCCCTAAAACTTGAAGGCACTCCAAGACCCAAGGCCCCCCGCTCGCCTCAAAGCTCTTCAAGTCCTCGTGGAAGAGGCTCCCTCGATGATCCATGAAGATCATGGCCTCTCAAGGGCTTTTGAGCTTTTGGGCTTTAGGGCTTTAGGGTTTGGGGGCTTTTGGGCTTTTAGGGCGTTAGGGCTTGTGGGCTTAGGGGTTTAGGGTTTAGGGCCTCTCAATGCTTAATTAGGGCTTCAGGGCTGTAGGGCTTTGCCTCTCAAGCCGAATTAGGCACCAAAAGCAAAGTTTAGGGCTTCTAGGTTTCAGGATTGTTGGTGCTTTAGGAATAGAGAAGAGATCTTTCAGCTTCGGGTTAAGGCTCGGAGTTCAGAGATCAGGGCTGAAGATCATGGCCTCTCAATCCGGTTTAGGGCTTTTGGGATTTACGTTTTTGTGCCTTAGGACATAGACATGAAGATCATGGCCTCTCAATGAACAAACAAACGGTTTAGGGCTTCTAGGTTTCTTGGCTTTTGTACTTTATGTGCTTTAGGATTAGGGTATACATGAAGATTATATGGCCTCGCAACGAACCAAAGAAAGGGTTCAGGGCCTTTGGGCTTTAGGGTTTTTGTGCTTTGGGGCTGTAGGTTTAGGGTGTAGGGCTCTAGGGTGTCGGGTTAAGGTCCAAGAGTTCATTGCGGTGCAAGAGGTCCCCAGGACGTATAACAAGGTAACTCTTGTGCCAAAGTCTGTTTCAATCTAGGCGTCAGACTCAAATATCTTTTTTACACAATCAGAACACTATGAGGCTATGGGCAGTAACAGCATCGTGGAACTGATGGATAGCCCTAAACCCTAAACCCTAAACCCTAAACCCTAATGGATTCTGCAAGATCGGACAGCATCCCTCCGGGGATCTCCATGGCTGGGGGCAAGGCCACGGAACGCTCTCCGAAGCGCTCCAGGACGTGGTGGGCGACGTCGCTGCTGTTCCCGACCCAAACCTTCCATGGAAAGGAATGAGGCTTTTGATGATAGGCCTGGCGATGATGCATCCGACTCTCCATGCGCTTCCCTGTTTCTCACAACATTCCGCTCTAGTCTTGATCTACCCTCGATCTGCAACCTGTGCAGCGCAGCTACTTCTTCAAAGACACCCCTTCAGCATGTGCTGAACTGAAAAGGCTAAGCTGGTGCCGTGAATTCGTTGTATGGAGACTGCGCTGACAAGGCTTCCTCGTGCTGCATGACGTCACCGTTGGGTGACCTAGCTCTGTCAGAGACAGGCTCTGCTGCATGTGGAGAGCTCAGTCGCTCATACGGCCAGAAGGTTTAGGGTTCAGGGTTTAGGGTTTTGGGTTTAGGGTTTAATTTAGGGTTTTAGGGATTAGGGTAAGTATCAATCTGAGAGCTAAAATCTGGAATTACTCTGTGGAATGACTCTGGTTCCACCCCCCTGGCCAACACTGTATCTATCCGGCTGATAGTGTGAAAGCCTCCACATGCACGCCAATCGCATTGCATGGCGCTGAGAGATGCTACGTTCGGCTCAGAGAATCTGTCATCTGCTGCGCCAGAAGCAGCTTTTTCTCTGCTTCCGCGCCTTCGCGTGCAAGCGCCAAGCCTAGCCAAGAGTCTCCAGGGGCACCTTTCTGGAAGACCGAGAAGTAGTGTCGCAGGAAGATCTCCCCCAAGATCATGAAAGGACGGTCGTGAGAGCCATACTCCATGTTCATGATGCCCGGCATGCAGTCACCAGTGAAGGCGTTTCGAATCATGTAGACGCTGGGGGGCACTCGGATCTCTTGGACGGCACTGTAGTTGGACAAGTTCGTCCCCACCTTACCGGTTCCGGGGTTTAAGGCCTAGGGCTTCTGACCGATTTGACTTGGGACCAACGTCAGTGCTACAAGAATCATGCATGGATGCAAACATTCGTTGGCGCTGCATGTCTTTGCCATGCAGAAAATCAGAAATCTGCAAGCAGGGGACAGTGAACACGAATTCTGGGAGTGTGTGGATCTTGTCACAATTCATCGGCCACACCTTTTCGGAAATCTTGTTGAAGAGCCTTCTTGGCGCTGTGAAGAACGTGGTCCCGCTATCCACGAGAAGGACCGCACTCTTCGGTCGATCCTGGCCAAAGAAGACCTGAAATCTTTTAAGGAATGTAATGTACGCGGCCATACTTCGGAAACCATATGGGTAATTCTCTAAACTAGATTCCCTTTGGGGATCCTTTTTATAAGGGTGCCGTACCTTTTCGGGGACTTAAAAAAAAGGGACCCTGATTTAGAGAACTACCCATATTGCTTACTATAGATCCCCAACATGGGACCCCTTAAACCCTAAACCCCGCAGGACCCTTAAGCCCTAAACCCCGCAGGACCCTCAAACCCTAAACCCTAAAACCCAAGCTAAGTTCCTTAACAAAAGCCCAGAGACAGGTCCATCTCCGCGCTTGGGCTTCTGAGGGAGGAGCAGATCCTAGGTGGGCGCGGCAGGGCCTCTGAAAGATATTCTTAAATAGGAATAGGGTTTAGGGTTTAGGGTTTAGGGGTTTAGGGTTTAGGGCTTCAGGTTTGGGGTTTCAAGTTTAGGGGTTTCGAGTCCAGATCCGTAGTAACCCAATAATAATACAGGGAAACAGCATGTTCGGATTGAGGAGAAGATCGAGGACATCTTCTTGCCCCCCAAGACGGAAGCCCTGCAGGGAGAGCGACCAATATCGCTCTTCCGGAATGGGAAACCACATCATCTCTCCGTTATGCAAACCTTGGCGGTGCAGCAACCAGCGGTTCAATTTACCAAGTTTTTCGGATTAGTATAGTCTACTTTGAAACCCAGAAAGAAAAAAGCGAACAAGCCAGAAACAACAAAAAAAACACCACAAAACCATGTATAGCACTGAACAACCCAGAAACCTAGCCTCTCAGCACCACCTCCCCAGATCACGGCCCCCCCTTTGGATGGATCCTTGTGCAGGTAGAAGGCAAACTCCGGTTTGGGCATAGCCCTCTCCTCCAGTTCAGGGTTCAGGGTTCAGCCCTCTCTGAACAAGAAGGCCTAGGGAAAACTTAAACATACACACCAGTGAAGGTCACAACATCCCTACAAGGGGGGGGTTGCTTGTAGCACTGTGCACTTATGCCTTTTCAAAAGCACCAACTATTCACATGCCCTAAACCCTAAACCCTGCAACCAGTACTGCCCACAGCCCTAGGAATTCTAACCCTATAGACACTAAATCCTGGATCCTAAAAAAGTGACTAAAGCCTACCACAGAGCCTAAACCCTCGTCTAAACCCCAAGCCCTAACCCAAAATGCCCAAAGGCTTAAACCCTAAACCGAAAACTGTCTGTCGTGAAAGACGGCCACTGCACAGGCAGGGTAAAAACCCGGGGGGGGGGGAAACCCAAAACGCCCTGAGCCCGCCCCATTCTCCTGCACGAGGTGGTCTAACAAAGGCACAATGCTCGTCTTCACGGAGAGCCTTGGTGGCCGAGTTCATAAGCCAAAACCACAATGAAGTTCAGGGCTTGGGGTTGAACCCTAAGCCTAAACTAGATCCCTTAGAAAAAACCCGGATGTAGGAGCCCCAAATCGTTAGACTAGAATCTTGGGCTTCTTTATAGTATAGTTATTGAATAAGGAGCCCTAAGGAATAATGTTGTTAATTATTTAGGCCTCTATATAAAACCCTAAAGCTTGCTAACTCAGCCACCACGGAGCGCAGAAAATGCCAAGCCGACGATGCCGTCCTCGGTTCCCCAGTAGCCAATGCAACAAGCCAAGTGAAGGGAACAAAGAAGAAACCAAAGAGCCAAGAAGAGGGAAATTAAGGTAATTCCGTTCCTCGTTTTGCACCTTTTCGTTTAATCAAAGAAAGATAATGAAGCCCCCAAGCCCCAACAAAAAGACAAACCTTGATCATGCTTTATCCTACTGTTTCAGTTTCAATAAATCGACCCCAGTATGAAAAGAATAAACGCATACTACTGGGAGGCCTGGATAGAACCTTGTAGATAATAAATACCCTTGCAGAACCCTTACGGCACCCCTAAAGAAACCCGTACAGGAACCCCTATAGCACCCTTCAAGGAAACCTTAAAGGCACCCTTTGAAGAAACCCTTTACCCTAAGCCCTAAAGCCCCAAAGCCCCAAGGCCCCCCAAAACCCTAAAAGTCTTGTAAGCAACAACAAAAAAATTGAACCCTAAACCCTAAACCCTGAACCCTAAACCTTAAAGTACTGGGAGAACGAGCATCGATGGGAAAGGCAGCGAAGGCATCTCCCGACTCCTCTGAGATGAGTCCCAAGCTCCTTAGGCTTCCTTTAAGGGTTAAAAATTTAGGGGTCTTTAAGGTTTTTTAGGGGTTTAGCAGGGGTTTAGGGGTTTAGGGGTTTTAGGGGTTTTAGGGGTTTAGGGGTTCCGGGGTTCAGGTTTAGGGTTGAGGGGTTTTTAGGGGTTCTAGGGCTTTTAGGGGTTTTAGGGGTTTAGGGGTTTTAAGGGTTTAGGGGTTTTAGGGGTTTTAGGGGTTTAGCGGTTTTAGGGGTTTTAGGGGTTTAGGGGTTTAGGGGTTTTAGGGGTTTTAGGGGTTTTAGGGGTTTTAGGGGTTGTAGGGGTTTAGGGGTTTTAGGGGTTTTGGGGGGTTTTGGGGTTTAGGGTTTAGAGGTTTAGGGTGTAGGGATTTGAGGTTTAGGGGTTTAGGGTTTAGGGGTTTAGGGTTGTTTAGAGTACAAGGGTTGCTTAAGGCACCTATAAATTGGAGCTCTTTGAAGGATCTATAAGGACTCTATATATAAGGCTGCCCTTGTTTGGGCGGAGCTTAGGGCTTTTAGGGGATAGGGCTAGGGTTGGCTCCTTTAAACGGATCTATACGGATTTTTTCTAGGGATCTGTAAGGGTTTCTTTAAGGGATCCGTAGGAGCTCCTTTACGGGATCTATAAGCGTTGATTTTAGTTTTTTTTTAAAGGGTTTAGGGTTCGGGGTTAGGGCTTAGGGTTTCGGACTAGTGCAGTGCTGGGTTTTAGAACTTAGAACTTAGGGTTAGGATTCACAGGTTTTAATGGGGTCTTAGGGTTGGTTTCGGCCTAAACCGCAAACCCTCAATCCTACACCCTAAACCCTAAACTCTAAACCCTGCAACCTAAGCCGTAAACCCTAAACCCTACGCCCTAAACTCTAAACCGTAAACCCTACACACAACAAAAACTCAAGGCCCGAAAGCCTGAAAGCCGGACGTACGCTCGCGATCATGGTCTATCCCTTTCTGTGGTGAGTAAACCCTTAGCTCCAAGTTCCCTCAACCCCTAGACCCTAAACCCTAAACCCTAAGCCCTAAACCCTAAACCCTAAACCCTAAACCCTACCTTAACGCTTTAGGGGTTCAGGGAACGGTTCAGGGTTAACCCTAAACCCAACTCTAAGTTCCACAATCCGTGCCCAAGGTGCTGTGACTTCACACGGAAAGGACCCACGAAGATGTCGTCGAAGCCGAGAACCCTGGGTTTCGTTCAGGAACTTAAATAGTACTACAGTGACTTTAAGTAACTTAGAAAATACAATATAGCAAGGTTTAGGGTTTAGAGCTCTGGGTTGTGCTACAATAACTTCAGCTAACTGAAAAATTACAATAACTGAACTTAAACTCAAGTCCTTAAAGACTTAACAATGGCCCAGAATCCCAGACAGCCGGCCACTGCCATACTCGGTCTCAAAGCGCTCCGGGCGGGCCGCCTATGAAAACACCGGATAAGGCTTAGGGTCTGGGGCTTGGAAGAAGGCTACGCACAGAATAGCAATGGTGAGCTACTGTAATAGGAACACTGAGAGTGGTCGTAAGCAAGACCACTACAGGATTTTATGACCTTCGTCTGCGCCTCACATCTCTCGAATCTTGACTCTCAGAACTGCAACGGCGGAGCAGGGAACCCTCGATTTCCTAAGGCCTTAAGCCGTAAAGTCACGAAACCTAAACCCTAA